GGGCTTAAAGCCCTAAACCCCTAAACCCTAAACCTTAAACCCTAAACCCCTTTTACGTTTAGGCCGGCTTTAGGGATAGAGTCGGGCAGACGCTTGGGGTCTCTGGGTGTGGGGTCTCCGAGTCTCAGGGTACCATGGTTCCCTTAAGTGGTACCTGCTTTAGGCCTTGTTTGTTGAACAGTTTAGGGTTAAAGTTTAATCTAGAAGCCTAAAGAATTACCAGTATTACTGTTAGGGTTCCTTATTATATTAATACTAGGCAGCCTCGCCGGGACACCCGATCATCGACCATCTTGGTTGCCGACTCCTTCAGGCCTTTCAAGCCCTAAACCCTATAAACTATAAACCCTATAAGCCCTATAAACCCTATATGTGCTATTAACCCTATAAGCCCTATAAACCCTATATGTGCTATAAACCCTACAAACCCTAAAACCTTAACCTATTCTAGGACATTTTCAGGTGGGTAGTTATCGTTATAGGAGCCTTATAGAAGGTCTGTATACCTTGTGGAAGCCTTATAGAAGCCCTATATACCCTAAACTCCCCACCTGTAGTTTCCTTTATCCTAAACCCTGGGGTGGCCTTCTCTCCAAAATTCCTAAAGTCTCTTTCAGGGCATTGCCAGCGGCCGCTGCATTGATGGCATCTCCCGCCAGCCAGAGGCCTGCGTGTTTTTTTGGCAATTGTAAAGTAAGGTACAACACTCGGCGTTGGTGGTCCTTATGACACCTGTAGTATGATTGACCCCCGCAGCCCTGTTCGAATGCTTCAGGACCCTACACATTTACTTAACTTCGGATATCTTGGAATTGGGGGTTAAGCAGTTTATATCTGGTACTCGTGAAAGGTTGGAAGAACGCCGATTGCGGCACATCTCAGTCATTAGCGGCAGTGTTACCTTGCAGGCGCTATACATAGTCAGATTTTGGAATGTGACTGAGGTACCTGTAAACTTGATCAGTCTTGGCTTAGTGTGTCGGGGCTCGGCTTCGATGGATAGGTTCAGGGTTTGAGGTGGTTGGTCCGGATCAGGTTGCTATCGGTGCAGGATTTGTCAATGCATCCGCTTTCCCCTTCTTTGGAAGATTCAACTGTGTTTGTAATATTGAAGCCCCCCAACATAGTATAGGCAATTATTTAGGCCCCTATATTACAAGGCCCTAAACCTTAAACCCTAACTTTAAACCAAATAGTATAGGTAATTGTTGAGGCCCCTATATTATATGACCCTAAACCCTAAACCCCTAAACCCTAACTTTAAACCAAGTAGTATAGGTAATTATTTAGGCCCCTTTGTTAGGGTTCAGGGTGAGGGGTCGCCAGGCAGTCCCTGGCCATTCAGTTACCCTAGACCCTAAACCCTAAACCCTAAACCCTAAACCCTAAACCCTAAACCCTAAACCCTAAGCCCTAAACCCTAAACCCTAAACCCTAAACGGCACGGCGCAGCGGCCCCGAACCAGACTGTGCTTTCAAGCTCTGATCCTCAGTTCTCCAATACCCAAACCTTCAGGGTTTAGGGTTTAAACTTGTTGGGTTCAGGGTTTAGGGTTTAGAGTTTAGGGTTTAGGGTTTAGGGTTTAGGGTTTACAGTTTAGGGTTTAGGGTTTAGAGTTTAAGCTTCAGGGTTTAGGGTTTGGGGTTTACAGTTTAGGGTTCAGGGTTTAGGGTTCAGGGTTTAGAGTTTAGGATTCAGGGTTTAGGGTTTAAATTTTTTGGTTCTCATAATCTAGTAGCAATCTGACAGTTCGACCTTTTATTTCCCTGGCTTTTTGGGGGAGTAAGGATCTGTTCTGTTAAGGTCCCTGTGCAATAGTCAGCTCCGAAACACACAGATGCTTCCGACACCCACCCTACTTGCCTCAAGCCAGCCCTAGATTCGTTCTGCAACATAAAACCCTAAACTCTAAAGACCTAAAACCCTAAACCCTAAACCCTAAAACCTAAAACCCTAAAGCCCTAAACCCTAAAACCCTAAACCCCAAACCACAAACATCCAACAACATCACATCGAAGGTGGCCGATGACCTCCGGGGTGTGCTGACACCAAGCTGCGCTTGGAGTACCGGCTTGAGGTTTGGATCAGGTGGTGGCTTTAGGGTTTAGGGTCTAGGGTTTGGGGTTTTGGGTTCAGGGTTTAAGCTTTTGGGTTTAGGGTTTTGGGTTTCGGGTTTGGGTTTCATTCGGGTTTGGGGTTTTGGTTTAGGGTTTTGGGTTTTCTGTTTAAGGTTTGCTTTAGCTTCCTACAGGATTACCTGAACCCCAAACCGGAAAACTTACAACTTGCTTCTGCTCGATCGAGCTCCGAAAACCAAAATCAGCTTGTTCAGCTAGCTTCGTTTGCTGACAGGCACTACGCACAACTAGGGTTTAGGGTTTAGGGTTTCCCTAAACCCTAAACCCTAAACCCTATTCGTAACTCCCCAACAGCCGGAACCCAACAGAGCCTCAACCGACGTGGGGTTCAGGTTGGAAGGGTTTAGGGTTTAGAGTTTAGGGTTTAGGGGTTTCGGCTTTGATTGGGGTTTTAGTATTTAGTGCATGCGGGTTCCGAGGCGACGATAGCACAGGTTTTTGCGCAGTTTTTTACAGTTTCGGCTGGGCTATTTTGGGTTCCTTAATATAATAGCTATATAGTAGAACAAGCTCCACGTATAACTACCCATGAACCTCCAAGTAAGACCCTCATTCCTAAGAGCCCTAAACCCTAGAAACTTGAGGCTACTGTCCCTGGCCTTCATGGAGTGCCTAAACCGCAACCCCTTACCCCATACCCTAAATCTTCAACATAAGCATGGGGTCGTCGAAACATTAAGGCTCCTGTCCCTGACCTTCATGGAACCCTTTATTCTCACCTTAAACCCCAAACCCCTAAACTCTAAACCCCCTAAACCCTGAACCCCCAAACCCTAAACCCCTAAGCCCTAAACCCTAAACCCCTAAACCCTAAACCCCACTTTTTAGCACCCCTTCAAGTAACCTAAGGCTGCTCTAGTTAGAATAAGGAAACCCCCAAAGCCCTGTTCGGATCATTAAGGCCCCTACATAAAGCCCCTAAACCCTAAACCCTATAGCCCTAAAGCCCTAATTCGAATCATTAAGGCCCCTTCATAACGCCCCTAAATCCGAAACAGCAAGGCCCTAAACCCTAAACCCTAAACCCTAAATCCGAAACAGCAAGGCTGCTCTCCCTGGCTTTCATGGAATCCCTGACCATCTACGGTCTCGTGATTGCCCTGGTCCGGGGCCCAGCGTTTGGGGTTCACGGTCGGGCGCTCGGGGGCTTTAGGGCTTAAGGGGTGGAGGTTTTAAAGTTTACGGTTGAGGGTTTAGGGTTCAGGGTTTAGGGCTTCCGAGTTTCAGGGTTTGGGGTTTATGGGTTTAGGGCCCTGGTACAATTCTCAACCCCTTTTGGCTTATTAGGCGTTGTAGGGCTTCTCCGTTCGGGCTACTTATGGGGCTTATAATAGTGCTTCTAGGATTCTAGGGTTAACGTGCTTCTTGGGCCTCTAGGGTTAATGGCGTTTCAGGGCTGGTCAGAGCTTCTGGAGGCTTTGGGATGTATACCCTGACGTGATGAGTTGGCTGAAGCTTAGAGGGTTTAGGGTTTAGGGATGTCGGCATCCAATTGTACACTTTACTTGGAGGTTTATGGGTAGTTAAACCGTTATAGGTGGGGTATCAGTCCCTCAGCTTATAACTGCCCATGAACCTCCAAGTACGCGCCGAGACTCGCGTTCGGAGGAGACAAATCCTGACGTGTCAGGAATGTCTTCATCATGATAACCCTGATAATTAGATGTCGTTGCCGTGCTCTGCTTCGCCTTGCCTCGCCAACACCACCTTTTCATCATGGACGCCAGCGCCATCAACATCATGTCATTGGCGAAATGACTTGAATTATACGAAAAATACATCCTCATCACCATCCGCATCAACACAATCATCACTTCCTTCATCACCACTGTAGTCAGCACCAGCCTCGGCAACTGTAAACACATGCCGTATTGTTCGAAAATCTGCCGTCGCACTCCTCGTCATCTGACACAGCATTGCTCCCACCGCGCGATCATCACGGTCGTCGTCATCACGGTCATGGTCAGCGCCAAAACATCATCGCCACTATCATCATGAGTATGCGACATCCCTGCCTCGGAAGGAATCAGGAAATGGCCCGTGACGGCCGCAAGGTAAGTCAGTAGCCAATTGAACCATTTGCTTGCCGAGGTGCTCCTGTTCGCGAACCCACTGATCAAGTGAGTGAGCTGTCGGTTTTTCGGTGGACATTCTCCGGTAGATGCTCATGCAATCTCGCGACCCGAATCCGTACCTAGCCATCCGGAACCCGTTTTCTACTCCCGGCAACGACGACACTGGACGCCCGCAATTACGACCATGGCACCTGCGGACGAAGACGACTACGTACTTTTACAGCTGCCCGTCCACACGACTACTGCTACCGCTACCACACTGCAACTGCCACTACCACTAAGCGCTACTGCTACCAGCTAACAATACCACTACCACTACGACGACCACGAAGACTACTACTGCTACCACCACTGTCACTGCGACCACGAACACCACCAGTCCCACTACGGCCACAACTAGCACCGCTGCTAGTACAACTGCTGCTGCTGCTGCTGCTGCTGCTACTGCCACTACTTCTACTACTTATTTCTTCTCCCCCTCCACCGCCACTACTCTCGCTGCTACTACGACGACGCCTGCTGCTACTCCTAATGTTACACCACTACTGCTACTACGACTGCTACTGCTACAACAACAAC